TAGAGATGAGGTCTTGCCAAGTTGGCCAGGCGGGTCTCGAACCCGCAGGCTCAGGCAATCTACTCACCTCAGCCTCCCAAGGTGCAGGATTACAGGCTGAGCCACCGAGCCCATCTGAGATGAATTCTTAACCTGAATTTCGACTGCTTCTCATTACTTTTTTTGAACATGGCTACTAGGAAATTCAAAATGACACGCAGAGCTCACGTTTTATTCCTACTGGAGAGTGCTTGAATGCTATGGAGTAACACTGGAGGAAGGCACTGTGTATGGACACCCCAGTCAGGCTGCATGGAGGACATCACAGTACCCTGACCCAGAGAGTCACAGATGTGTGTAGACCTCCACTGACTGTCAGGCACACCTGTGCTCCAGGGTGTGAGGCAGCCCCCCAGGAGCCCAGGCGCCTCTCCCCCTCTTTCCCTGGCCTGGAGCTCACCAGCATATGTCCTCGGGGTAAGCGGCGAAGGTGACCGTCCACTTGGAGGTGTGGAGCTCTCTGCTGTGGGAGGATGGCTGTGGCTCACCTTTGCACCGAAGGCTCTGACACTTGCAGGCATTGAAGTCTTTCAGGATGCTGCCAGGAAATGCAGAAACACTCAAGACCCAGCATACCCAAGTTATCATGCGCAAATGTGGCAGATGGGTACTGAGTAAGAGTGGGAGCCTAGTGACACAGGATATTTGCTTTATTTTGATTTTATTAGAATTAAGGCTGTGTACAAGGCACCTTACTTGGCATACCATGTGGAGGATGTTTAATCCTCACAACAGCCCTGCAAGCAAAGGAGTACTATTTCCATTTTTCCCTAAGGAAACTGAGGTTAACATACCCCCACACATAGCTTCTCCATGGGCTAGCCCCCTCTGCCCTGCTCAGTGAAGCTGGGACCCTGGTCTGATCCTGTTGCCAGGCCAAGGGCCTCACTTTTTCACTCCCTCACTTCTTCCTCAGGCCCAAGAGTAGCACTAGGCCACGTGACATACTGCCTCCCCAGGATGCCCACCTCACCCTCACCATCTCAGTGGGCCACAGTCTTTCCCCATGTACCCTCCCATAAGGAACCCTCCAGCCCTCTACTGCAGCCTCAGAATACCCTTCCTCTTTTCTCCCCTTCTAGTGTCTGCAGTGAAGCCGGAACCACTGTGGGAAACATCCAGGAGACCATTCCCAGGGTCAAGATGCCCAAGGCAGGGAAGGTGGGAGAGGGACATTGGCTGCGTCACCTCCTTTCTACACCCCTCTCCTGACCCAATCTCCCGCTGCTCCCAAGGCAAGATGACACCGAGATCCCAGGCATGAGAGCATTTTGTGAGCTTGGAGCCCCGTGGAACACTATGAAAAGCCACTCACAGCCAGGTGCAGTGGCTCACGCCTATAATCCCAGCACTTTAGGAGGCGAAAACAAGAGGACTGCCTAAGCCTAGGGGTTCGAGACCAGCCTGGGCAACTTGGTGAGAACTTGTCTCCATAATATATGTATAAAAAAATTAAGCCGGGCTCGGTGGCTCAGCCTGTAATCCCGCACCTTTGGGAGGCTGAGGTGAGTGGATTGCCTGAGCCCACAGGTTCGAGACCCGCCTGGGTAACTTGGCGAGACCTCATCTCTACAATAAATCAAAAATTAGCTGGGTATGGTAGCGCGTGCCTGTAGTTCCAGCTACTTGGAAGGCTGAGGCGGAAGGATCACCGGAGCCCACCGGGTTGAGGCTGCGGTGGCTGGGAGCGGCCACTGCACTCCAGTTTGAGCAACAGAGGGAGACTCCAACTCAAAAAAAAATTAGCCGGGTGTGGTGGCACACGCCTGTAGTTCCAGCTACTTGGAAGGCTGATGTGGAAGGATCGCCTGAGCCCAGCAGGTGAAGGCTGCAGTAGCCATGAGCGTGCCACTGCACTCTAGCCTGGGTGACAGAGTAAGACTCCAACTAAAAAGAAAAAAAGAAGAAAAAAAAGCCACTCGCAGTGCCAGGTTGCCACGGCAGTGAGCATCCTGGAGTGCCTGGGGGTCTTTCCCCACAGCTTTGTATTTGCTGGAAGATTGGGAGCCCACAGACAGAAGAAGGACCTGCAGTTCTCAAGCAGATGTCTGAAAGGAGGGTGCATCCACCCCCACTCTCCACCACCCACAGCAGAATGCTGGGACATAGAGCCAGCAGGATGGGTCCCGGGGCAGCTGGGGAGAACCCAGCAGTGGGGACAGGCCACATCAACCAGAGAGTGGTCAGCTAGAATCACCCACTCTGTGTCTGCTGCCCATACCCAGTCCCCACCAGCTGTTGTACAAACATGAGCAGGGCTCACCAATGGGTGAGTGAGGATGGCTGGGGAGGAAGTGGAAACATCACAAACCACAGCGATGGTGAGTCAGCAGTACCATCTCTACCTAGGAGGGACAGCAAGCTATCTGGAGGGGGTACAAAGCCACCCTAGAAGGGGCTGGGATGTGCCCATGCTCACTATGTGGCCATGGACTTCTCCTGGAAGGTGACGAAGGCCATCCCCAGGGGCTGGTCCTGGACGTGGCGCTCCTCCTCTGTGATCCTCTCCAGCAGCCTGTCCTTCATGCGCGTATAGTAAGAGAGGGCGTCCTCCTGCCAGGAGACACATCCCCTTGGGATGACATGGCCCTGTGCAGGTGTCCAGGCACCCCAGTGTCTGCGTCCGCACTCCCATCCTGGGGGGGGCCCTTACCCGCTCACAGCCCTGCACTTCGCAGCAGCAGAACTGACCACAGGGCTTGGGGTTAATAAGGGTCCGCTGGCCTGTCTTCACCTGCAGGTTTGTGTAGTAGGTCAGGCTTGTCTCGGTCTTCTTTCTGTTGGGGTGAGAGCAGGGACACACACTTCAGTCTCACAATCCAGTGGCCTGGACCCACACCCACTGTCCCACTGTCGGTCACCAGAAGAGAAAAGGGAGTCCAGCTTTCTGAAGAAGAAAGGGACAGGACTCCCTTCTCCCTTCCCAGCTAGGGGATCCCAGCTCAGCAAGGAAGGAGGTGGGAAGAGGTCAGAAAGCTCCAGGGCGGCCGAACCACCTACCTACCGCTGCCCTTACCTCTCCTTGCACAGGTAGATGAGCTTGGCCACGTTATAACACAGCTGAACATCCACCACCTCGCACGTGGGATACGCGTCCCTGTGGCCAGGGAGGAAAGCAGGCAAAGGACGCCATTGGACAAGAGAATACCCCAGGCAAGAGAGAAACCCAAGTCCCCAAGGATGGCAGGACGATCACGCTGCTGGTTTCTGGCCAGCGGAGACCTCTTTTCCCTTCATCTTTTACCCCCTCAAAGGGGAAAATTGTAAAATTTAACACAAAGAGCCCTTTCTTAATAGCATGAAGCTAACTGCCTGGAACGGACAAGTTTGTACCCACTTGGCTTTCCTTCCGCTGGCATTTCTCATGGGGAAAATGAGCATGTCGCCAATCCTCTCAGCCACCCAAACAAATAGGGCTCCTGTTGGCTCTAGGTCAGTATCTACCCCGAGTATCACTGAAATCTTGTTCAGGTAGGCTTTTTGAAGGCCACAAACCCTTTAGAGGGTCTAAAAGTAAGATGACACTGAGATCCCAGGCAGGAGAGCGTTTTGTGAGCCTGGAGCCCTGTGGCAAGGAGCACTATGAAAAGCCAATCACAGCCGGATGCAGTGGCAAAAAGACTCTCAGCCCAGAGAACGTCTGCTTACATACTAACAAAGCAGCGAAATACTTACATACTCACTACTGACCATGTATTGTTACCTATATTAACTTATTTATCCTGTGAGATTTTACCCCCATCTTACAGAGGAGCAAACTGAGGACCCCAGAAGTCAAATGGCTTGTGCCCAATGTCACACAACGAGTGAGTGTCTGAGTTGGGAGGTCAATATAGGCTGCCTAGCCGGGCTCAGTGGCTCAGCCTGTAATCCCGCACCTTGGGAGGCTGAGGTGAGTGGATTGCCTGAGCCTGCAGGTTCGAGACCCACCTGGGCAACTTGGTGAGACCTCATCTCCACAATAAATCAAAAATTAGCCAGGTGTGGTAGCGCGTGCCTGTAGTTCCAGCTATTCGGAAGGCTGAGGCGGAAGGATCCCCAGAGCCCAGCAGGTTGAGGCTGTGGTGGCCGGAAGTGGCCACTGCACTCCAGTCTGGGTGACAGAGTGAGACTCCAACTCAAAAAAAAAAAAAAATACAGGCTGCCCAGTTCGTGCGATGTCCCCTCACTGTACACACAAAACTGTACACATAACTCCGGAGGACTCCAGGACCATGTCAATCCCCACCTCCTACATGCCAGACACTCCTCTAGGTGCTGGCACACGTTTTAGTGAGAGAGACAGTCCACAGACACATCATTCAATTAAACGGTAGGATAATTTCAGGTCCCAATAAGAGCTATGAAGAAGAGAACCCCCATTTAGGCAGCCCTGCTGCAAGGCAGATTCACCTAACAATCCCCATGGATTGCAGCATGCTCACTAAAAAGGCCTCCTAAAATAGAGGAACGCATGAGTCATGCAATGTTTGTCTGGGAACGAGGGGCCTTTTTTTTCCTTTAAGGTTATACAGTACTTGGAACTACCATTTCCAAGTGTTCCTAGCTGGCGTTATTTCAAGGAATAGAGAAAAATGATTCCAATGTTGAGTATTTAGACCTAAATGAACATTTCTAAAATACTCGCAGTTTCTGACGAAGAAGCCAGTTGAATTTCAAACACTGACTTTACGATTCTGTTTAGGCTAATAATTTGCTTAGCAAGTGCTTTCTTCATAAGCAGTGCAGAGTTAAACTGTAGCTGACCCCTAGACCATGCCACATACCGACCGCTTAGTGGATAAGAAATGAAGAGAGAAGAAAATCTCAGCCCTGAGCGCAGCCTTCAGGTCCTCGGGCTTGGGGTCCTGGGAGCCTTCCGGGCCTGCTCACCCCCACCTCACCCCCCTTCCTGATGCTCCCAGTCTCTTCTTGCATTCGTGGCTGGACACACAGCCTCCTCACGGGAAAGCCTTGCCTCCAGTCTCCACCTGCAGATGCTCGTGGGGGGCTGCCAAAAAGGAGGTTCTGCTGACAAGAGCCTGGACTCCAACACAACAGAGTGCTCACTCGACAGACACCTGCTGAGTGAGTGGATGAACCAACAAACGCAGAGATGGCCCGAGGTACATCCACCTCTGACACTCTAGCTCTGTGGGTCAGCATAAAAGCTCGGCTCACGTATCTCTTATCCTGCAAAGCTGTTGCTGAGAATCCCCGGTGTCCCATTTTCTTTTCCTGTGTCCTCTCAAGATGTTTATTTGCATCTACAGCCTGGCCTGTACTTTGGACACTGGGATCACATGGGCGGCTGTGGCTGCCTGCAGAGAATGGGCCATCCAAGCCCCGATGCTGGCACGGCACCCCCAGAGTTGGTACCTGGGAGCCATTTGATGCTTGGGCGGCAGGGCCAGGTCCTTTTCGGATCTCACCCAGACACCAAGTAAATGACGGAGGCACTCCCCTAAGGCACTTACTCCATGGGACTATGCCTGGTGGGGGATGGGGGGGGTTGGGGTTGGGCTCAGCTCTCCTCTCCCTGCTTACCGGAAGTGACTCTCCACAGCCTCCTTCTTGGCATCTCTGGGGAGCCCTGTGATGAACAGGGTCCGCCGCACCTATTGGAGAACACAACAGGGAGAGAAGTCACTGGGGCAGGCCAGTTTGTGGGTGGGCCCAGGTTTCCCACCTCGTGCAAGGCTCCCGAGAGAAAACAGTGGAAAATCAGAAGACTCGGGGTTCTTCCTTTGTGACCTGGGAGAGCCCCAAAGCATGTTATTTACACAGGATCTTCTTTCAGGCTGTACAGAGAATCCATTTCCAAAGCAGCTCCTGTGCATGGCAGGAGAAGGAAAAACAACCCAAAGACGGGGAGTGACTCAATGGGGTCACACAGCAGATCAGAGGGCAGAGGGGGGCCAGACCTAGAACCAAGTCATAGAAACTCCCCTTCCCTGCCCAGCTGTGGGTTGCAAAGACAAAGGGCTGCTCTCCACCCAAATTTCTTCTTTACTCAGCCTCAGGAACTATTAGCCCCAGCCCCACAAATCAAAGGGCAAATTGGCAGAATGGGGGGAAGTATCCAAATCTTAAAAACAGTCCACCAGGAAATTAAAAATATATATACAAGACCAAGTGTGAGTGTGAATATGCAAGCCACCACCCTCCTTGAGCTCCCCACTGTCAAGGTCCTGTGACGTGGGAGGTCCTTCCTCGCCGGCTGCCACCTGAGCCCCTCCCAGCACGTCCCCAGCCCAGCCTCACTCACCAGACTCTCTTCCTTGTACCTGATGGACTGAGTGTGGTGCCGCATGAAGCCCACAGTGAGGAGGAGGTAAATGACAGCGAAGATGGTGTGCAGCCAGAGGAGGTTGTTGCTGGGGGAAGAGGAGACCACCTGCCATCAGGGCTGGGATCCCAGGTGGAGGCTGGGGCATAGGGCTGGGGCCTGGTGACGCTCAGTGGGCACTGAGCCGAGGGCCCATGGCATCATCACAACAGACGCCTCCCACAGAGCCTGCACGGCCAATGTCCCTCAGTCCCCCACGCATACTTCAGAAAGGTCCCTGTCCCTGTCCTGAGAAACGAACTCCAGATCCACAGGGCTTTCCGTGCTTCATAAAGGCTCCCACAAAACAGCAGCTGCCGGTGGCATGTTCGTGCCTGTGGCCCAGCAATATGTGAGCTGCAGGGGGCTTTCAGACATCAGTCTGATCGCTTTGGACCATCCTGGCCCACCCCAGCTCTGGAATCTGCCTTCTCCTTGGTCTCCCCATCAGTACCCTCATCTTTACCCGCTCCATACTCACTCAGTCTGCAGGTTGACTATAGTTGTCCTCCCAAAATTGTAAGGGTCTTTATCTGCAGGGAAATACAGATACTTAGATCCAGAGTCGTATGGGTTAGCAGGAGAGAGCATCATCAGCCTTGGTTGGTGGAGCTCTGGGGAGGAGGATCTGAGATGCCTGAGCCAGTCAGAAGAAAACATCTGTCCGGTCTTTTCAGAGCTAAAACCATCAAGGCCTCTGTTTGAACTAGCAGGCTTCCTGACAACTTCTCAATCCACTATGCAGGTGAAGTCTAAGTTTAAATTCATCTTGTTTTGAGAAAACTGGAAACATCCTAGGTAGTTACCAAAACAAAGGTTGGGAATTGCTGGGCATTAGAAGTGGATTTGTGGCCGGGCTTGGTGGCTCAGCCTTTAATCCCAGCACTTTGGGAGGTCGAGGCGAGTGGATTGCCTGAGCCCACGGTTTTGAGACCAGCCTGGGCAACTTGGCAAGACCTCGTCTCTACAATAAAAAATTATCTGGGTGTGGTAGCACACACCTGTAGTTCTGGCTACTTGGAAGGCTGAGGCAGAAGGATCACCGGAGTCTACCAAGTCGACACAGGGGTGGCTGCGGGTGTAGTGTGCCACTGCACTCCAGCCTGGGCAAAGATGTGAGATTCCAATTCAAAAAAAAAAAAGTGGATTCGTGATGGTATTTTGGAAGCTGGATTCCTATGGGTACCCATAGCTATAAAGTTTCTGATTCTGAGTGAGTATCACAGATACCTTCTGAGTCCACTAATTGTGATCTCCTAATTTGGATGAGGGCAGGAAAGTCTAAAACATTCTCTGAAAGCTCTTGATCCTATACATTTGGGGGAGCTTTTTTCTCCTATTCAGATAGAACCAGAATTGATATTAAGAGTCCCAACTCTTGCCCAGGCTTGGGGTAGATTCTTCTCCCAATCATTAATTCAAATGGAAACATTCAGGAAGTCACCTTGAGACCTTCTCACAGCTGCACTTGAACATGACCCCTGGGGTTCTGGTCTACCATGATGAGCCCATTTCCCTAGGACTGCCACTCTGCTCCATTCTAACACAGACAAGGGTGAGAAGGGTCATTACCCAGTAAGTCCCCAGAGAGGTTGACAGGCAGGATGACACACAGGGACAAGAAGCTGACCACCACCAGCAGGAAGATGATGTGCCTCTGGAAGGATAGGTAGTGGATGGCATCCTCCCCACACCACTCCAGGATCTGGTCATCGCTGGCCAAGACACACATGGAATCTCAGTGAGCAGCAGGAACAGGTCAGGTCCGCAGAGCCTCGCATGGATTATCTCATTTAATCCTCTCTGCAGTTTTTTTTTTTTTTGAGTTGAGTCTCACTCTGTCGCCCAGACTGGAGTGCAGTGGCCGCTCCCAGCCACCGCAGCCTCGACCTGCTGGGCTCCGGCGATCCTCCCACCTCAGCCTTCCAAGTAGCTGGAACTACAGGCGTGTACTACCACACCCGGCTACTTTTTTTATTTTTTATTGTAGAGATGAGGTCTCACCAAGTTGCCTAGGCGGGTCTTGAACCCGCGGGCTCGGGCAATCCACTCACCTCAGCCTCCCAAGGCGCGGGATTACAGGCTGAGCCACCGAGCCCGCCTTTCTCTACAGTTTTATGAGATGGTTCAATGATTATCTCCACTGCTGTTCTTTTATATATGAAGATACAAAGGTACAGAAAAATGGCATATGCTTCATGATCTCACAGCTCATAGTAGCAGATCTAAGATATAAATTCCAGAGCCCACTGTCTTAACCCCTACCCCATACACTGTCAACACCACCGCTCCATTTTACAAAGCCAGAAACATCGGTGCCCAGGTGACATGTGTGGGTGAGCTATGTAAATACAACTATTCTGCAGCCCCTTCCTACTTTCATGGGATTCTCATTTGGAATGAAGGTAGGAATGTGTCCAGACCTCTGGCTCCCATCTTTCTCCTGACTCCCCCTCAGGTGAGCTGGAGAGACAGGTGGAGGCAAGGTTTTGAACATTCGAAGTCTCAGTTCATACTATTGCCCCTGCCTCCTTCCTGTGTCCCTGTCATGGCCTCAGAGATAGGGGGTTGGGTTACCTGTACCACCCTTTTGCCCACTCTCTGAGTGCTACCCTTGGGGCTCTGGGTCAATTGGGCACACAGAAAGTTCCAGGTCAGATAGTCAGATTTTGGTGCCACAGAGAGCGAAGAGGGAGGCTGCTCCCCTCTTTCTCACTCTCCTGGAATGGCAGAAGGCCGGGAAAGGAGTGCACTAGGAAGCTCAGGAAACAAGTTTTTCATCATAAAAAGGCAGAGCTAGCCAGCTCGGTGGCTCAGCCTGTAATCCCAGCGCTTTGGGAGGCTGAGGTGAGTGGATTGCCTGAGCCCACAGGTTCGAGACCCGCCTG